ATCCTAAAGATAATCCAACACATTTACAGTCCAGATAGTTACGTTTTATTTCTGAAATTTGATATTTATGAGGGAAAGTTAATACAAGTATATAAATCATGAATGGGTAGATGGTTTTGTGTTTGTAATTGTGCTATTTGTTATGTAAAACATAAAACCAAACAACAATACTGTATTCACGTTTATATTTTGCTGATGGGACTCCTGATGTCATTTCAAATCTTTTCAGTTCAAAATATGTTACATGTGACATATTTATAAAACAAACTATCTAAACGATGAACGATATATCCTGCCATACTGAAATTTGTGCTGAATCCCTGGGAAGGCTGTCAAGTGTCATGGGTTGAGGACTGGTCATTCATTCTTGGATAGGGGTTTGCCTGGAACTTTATCAAGGCATTGACATTGTAGATGTTTATCAGAACTAAACATCCTGTAGTTGGAAAACGGTAATTCCTCGAAAATATTTCATTAATTTCTTTAAAAAAGAAATATTGATAACAAATAACAATAAAAACGTGAATACAATGTCTACAATACTTTAACTGGAAAATATATTTGTACTTTCAAGGGGAAGATATTTTATGTTGGAAAGATTCTTGGCTATGCAAGGATTCATATTGCAGTATTACTATATTTACTACCATCAGGGTGTTTACACCAGTTTATCCAAGTGATAAGGCCACATCAAGAAGGAAAGGTAAATCCAATTCCATATCGTCTGAACTACTTCAATACAGTGGTCACGTGCATTCTGCTAGTCATTCATCTACCCCCACCCAGACTCAGCCATTTCACCTGACATTCATGGCTGGCCTTATTAGGAAATGTTATGGCTGTGGACAACCATTCAATAAAAGACATAAGTCCCCACCTCACGATTTGCTTCTGAAGAGATTTGATCATCATGTTTACACCAGCCCGAGGAGTAAAGAAAAGAAAACAAAGGTTAACTTGCAAAACACATATTTCCATCTAAATGTTCACCGTGCAAGGCGATTGGATCCAGGGTTTGAGATGAAGAATATTCTCATACATAATGAATTAAGGGAACAACTGACTCTTGTTCACAAAGAAAAATTAAAAAAACTTAACGTTTTCACAATGTAATGTTCATTGTATTTGAGGACACTGAATAACAAGTCATGTCTACCAATACATTACTGTGAGACTGATATGGAAAAGATGGGCAGGCCTGAAGTGCATAAGAAGTATGATGTCAAAGATGTTCATATATTTATCTTAAAGATGCAGTGCATGATCAACTAGTAATGTTTGACTTGGTTTTACAAGTACATCGAATGTCTGTTATGTGCCAACTATTAAAATGTCTTTACTATTATTATAACTGTCATAGAAATGTTTGCTATGTCAGTTTTCTCCAAACTCCTTAATAATTTGTCACAAATTCAAACTCTCTGCAATTATGCTTTCATTTGTAGACAGCAACGTAATCAAGAGTGTGAAAATGTTTACATGGCAATCCTCAGTAGCACTGGCTTAGCTTTCTGCCATTCTGAGGGCAGATCGTATCAGTGATGTGTTGCCTGTTATCTGTCACATTCCCAATGGACTGCCCATACATAACCTTACAGAAAGTTAAGATTTTCGAAGGCACAGAGAACTGATGAAACTCACTAACAATCAGCTTGCAAAATATTCAACTGTATTTATTTTTGCTTTTTGTTTGTAAGTTCAAGGATGTAGAAAGATAACTATTTTTATAAAAAAAACAAGACAATTATGACATTGCAACAGTTACGTTTGCCATCACTGACAAAAAAATTCCTGTTCCTGAATAATATAGTGCTATGTATCTTATGTTATCAATTTCTTTGTTATGTAATATGTCTTAGCATAGACCGTATTTCTGTAACTTTCCCTTAGAACGGCTTCCTCTACACAAATGTGCATTTGCATGAGTCAATGTTATGTATGTCCTTCATCGGACAATAAATAATGCCATTATTAGTATTTGGTTTATAGGTTGTAAATCATTTCCACCGTACATTCATCTGTTATAGCGCCTAATTCAGGACAGCCATCGTTCAAATATTCCTAAAGATAAAAAACTATGTAGCCAAACCATGTGAAACTTAATTGCAATTATTGAATCCACGAGCAGGATAATGTCGCTCGTAGGAAGTGCCCTGGTGTTGAGCCAGAACTCCACTCACCTCATTCATGTATACTATTACTAATGTTTGCCATGTCTTGTGCAACCAACTAAAGAAGTTTGAACTTAACCTATCCTTCGTCTTTGTCAACTTATTGTACTATAATTCCAAGCTAGTTCCCCTGTCGATCATATCTACGCGTTGACACATCCATCCTCCCGATCTATTCATACACATTTTTTTCTTGATGTCAACAAAGCCCCAGAACAGGACCCGCAGTTAATACAGTTACAGAATGACATTTCTGGAGTTGACAGGGCTAATTGATAAGTGTATACAAAATGGCTCCTGCCATCTGATAAAACTGATAACCAGCTACAGATGTTGGAACGAATGCGCTGGTTTAGTTTCCCTTATGATCAAAACAAAACAAACTCGGTCTTCAAAATATTTACATTTAAACTCCATTCCAAGACTCCACTCCAAGACCCCACTCCAAGACTCCACTCCATGTTTTACAGTATGCCCTCTTACGACAAGCATGGGTTGCGGAAGATCAATTCTAACCCGGATCTTCACTGGTCCATGGGTTGCTGTTTCTAACCCGAATACCCGGGTTCACGTGAAAAGGTTTCAAGCTCATGTCACTTCATGTGGTTTTCTGGCCACTCCCACAACGACATGCAGCTGATGTACATATCAAATCACCACCCCTCCATGCTTGCGAATGCAATTTTGCTGCAACATCACGGCAAGGGACTCAAGAAATTGGTTTCACATACTACCCATGTCTGGAGTCGAACCCGTGCTTCGTCGTGACAAGCGAACGCTATAACCACTAGGCTACCCCACCACCTGATATTCCGAGAATCTGGCTAACTAATTTGTTCGCCATAGGTATAATTTTCTTCAGACCGGATTTCAATGAGGTATCTTCACGTTTATTCGGCCACAATACTCCAATCTCACTTACTTTTTACCTTGGTTATATAACACCGTAAGAACACGGATATGAATAGTTCCTCACGACAATAAATCGAATAGTTTATTGTTTCATGTCTCGTCAGAATCGTAGATCCCTAGGACACTGATTGGGAGCCCTCGCGACGACAGCCAAATCGGGTTTCTCGTTACAGTGGCGTGATTGATATTTTACGAGCGCTTCACACAGCTTACCGTGTTTGAGATAACCACACAATCCCTGCCATCGTGGTGTTACTGATGCTTTAGTAGTGTTGAACATCACACAAACACTCACTCTGAAATTCAGGGTTACTAAAGTACTGTCGGAAATAGGAAAAAACTGTTTTTAGGCTGTTCCTCTGTATCCTTAAAATTTACACAACTGCAAGTAGCATATGCTGAAATAACCCACATCGGCCTATCTGGGCGTTCAGTGGGATGAGTAATAGGATATCTAGAAATGCACGTTTACTCATAAAATCGGGCAAAACTTAGACAACATACGAATAGCTCCTGAAAACAATAGATCAGACTATAGATGGCAATTAGGTCGCTCAGCCAGGTATGACGACGGACCGTCGACTCACCTGGCATGAAATGCACGTGCTGCCTACAGGCACAAGGGGTCATCTCAAAGATATTTTTATGCTTTTTTTCATGTGTATTGAAAAGGTCTCATCTATTGATTATCATCTTACGTGTCTTTCATAACGCTTATGTTGAGATATGTAAAACAATATGATACCCATCGAAAGGCTTAAATCAACTATCGTATTAAATGTCTCAAAATATACAGGAGGCAAGACCACCCCAAAATCGACAGTACTGGATATTATTTGTTAATTGTTAAGACATGACGTTTACTTCCCCCAGTTTAATTCCCCTAAAGGATTATCTTATCATAGCTGATATCTCTATCCCCCAGTACGACCCCAACCACCGTCTGTGACACTCGTCCTGGTTTTACTTTTGAGACGATCCCTCCTACCTGTTTCTTTTTATAGTGATATTGAGGCTCCATGGTAGCTACATCCTTAATAGTTTCAGTATTAAAGTTAGTATTTTTTACGTCAGCTATCGTTTATAATGAAGCTTAGTCTAGTTTCAAAATTGGCAGTTAAAAAGTGTCCTTTGAAATACAATATCATCACACAATAATTTGCATAAAGCCATGGTCTGTTCTAAATAAATCGCTTCGGACTTAGAAAAAAAACAACCCATTGCTCATTTCTGCACTAATCTCTCCTCAATTAAGTCATTATTTTACGTTTCCTATCGCCCTACCACTGCGACTGTAGTTAAGCCGAACATGGTTTAACAGATATTTCACACTTTCACATACTAACTTCATAATTTGTAGATATAAATGTGAAAAAAAAAGTTTTTTCTATTTCCGACAGTACTTTAATCATTACCACTGTCAAAAATATTTCTTGTGTTCAAATACTAATTAATTTACAAAATACGGTATGCATTTCTGAAAGAAGTAACCAACAAGTAATATTCCTAAATTGTGAACACTTTAATGCCATTTTAATGTACATTTACACAACTACATACCTTTTGCATTTAGCATCATGAGTTCAATAACAATGTTTTAAAGTCATAAATAAGTCAGAATCCATTAGAACCACTCTGATCACACCCAGGGTGTATCACATGTAGCAATGGTGGCACGTGGTCTTGTGTATACAGCCCAAGTCACCTATCAGTTGAAGTTAAAGTCAGTCCTTGAACGGGTGACCATGTCTGAGTCCTGACTCCTGTGAGTCCTTCCCCACAACGAAGCACATGTGATCCATGTGGTCTCACCTTAGGCAAGTGAGTTTGTCCAAAATTGCCTCTGTTCACCCAGCAGTGAAAGGGTACCCGGTGGGACAAGATGGTCATACGACTGTTAACCTTTTTTAGTGCCTCACAGGCAGCTTGGGTAAAGTGGGGTGATAATGTCTGTGCTTTGCATACAATTTGTCCTCATTCCATGGAGCATCTTTTAGGCTGCTGCACAAATGTATTATATACACATATTTTAAATCTGACACACATGCTGGCATCATGTCACACAGCCTGACACACTTCCTGGCATCACGACACAGCCTGACACACTTCCTGGCATCAGGACACAGCCTGACACACTTCCTGGCATCACGACACAGCCTGACACACTTCCTGTCATCACGACACAGCCTGACACACTTCCTGTCATCACAACACAGCCTGACACACTTCCTGCCATCATGACACAGCCTGACACACTTCCTAGCATCAGGTCACAGCCTGACACACTTCCTGGCATCACGACACTGCCTGACACACTTCCTGGCATCACGACACAGCCTGACACACTTCCTGGCATCACGACACAGCCTGACACACATACCCTGCTGTTTTAACCTGTCTATACAAGGACACAAACTGGGCAGCCCTCGTTGTGCTTGGGGCTACCAGCATGGTGGCAAAGTCTGTTTTGTTCCGTAAAGCGGGCACACGATGGTGGAGTTTTAAGTTATGAAGAAACCGAAGGACAAAGTCGAAACAGTTGTTGTCTTGTTCATGATAGCTGCAACAGAAGAAGAGTGAGAGAGTGAGTGAGTGAGGCATTGTAACACCTGTGAGACCCTACTTATAAGAAGTGCTCCTCCACCTACCTGTGAGACCCACCCCTGGCTAACACCTCCACCTACCTGTGAGACCCACCCCAGCTAGCACTCCTCCACCTACCTGTGAGACCCTACCCCGAGCTAGCACTCTTCCACCTACCTGTGAGACCCTACCCCGAGCTAGCACTCTTCCACCTACCTGTGAGACCCACCCCAGCTAGCACTCCTCCACCTACCTGTGAGACCCACCCCCAGCTAGCACCCTTCCACCTACCTGTGAGACCCACCCCAGCTAGCACCCTTCCACCTACCTGTGAGACCCACCCCAGCTAGCACTCCTCCACCTACCTGTGAGACCCTACCCCGAGCTAGCACTCTTCCACCTACCTGTGAGACCCTACCCCGAGCTAGCACTCTTCCACCTACCTGTGAGACCCAACCCAGCTAGCACTCCTCCACCTACCTGTGAGACACTACCCCGAGCTAGCATTCTTCCACCTACCTGTGAGACACACCCCGAGCTAGCGCTCCTCCACCTACCTGTGAGACCCACCCCCAGTTAGCACTCCTCCACCTACCTGTGAGACCCACCACCAGCTAGCTCTCCTCCACCAGCTAGCGCTCCTCCACCTACCTGTGAGACCCAACCCCAGATAACACTCCTCCACCTACCTGTGAGACCCCACCCCAAGCTAGCACTCTTCCACCTACCTGTGAGACCCACCCGAGTTAGCATTCCTCCACCAACCTGTGAGACCCACCCCCAGTTAGCACTCCTCCACCTACCTGTGAGACCCCACCCCAGCTAGCACTCCTCCACCTACCTGTGAGACCCAACCCCAGCTAACACTCCTCCACCAACCTGTGAGACTCACCCCGAGCTAGCACTCCTCCACCTACCTGTGAGACCCAACCCCAGCTAACACTCCTCCACCAACCTGTGAGACACACTCCCAGCTAGCACTCCTCCACCTACCTGTGAGACCCACCCCGGCTAACACTCCTCCACCAACCTGTGAGACACACCCCAGCTAGCACTCCTCCACCTACCTGTGAGACCCAACCCCAGCTAACACTTCCTCTCCACCAACCTGTGAGACACACCCCAGCTAGCACTTCCTCCACCTACCTGTGAGACTCCACCCCAGCTAACACTCCTCCACCAACCTGTGAGACACACCCCCAGCTAGCACTCCTCCACCTACCTGTGAGACCCACCCCGGCTAACACCCTCCACCTACCTGTGAGACACACCCCGAGCTAGCACTCCTCCACCAACCAGTGAGACCCACCCCGGCTAACACCTCCACCTACCTGTGAGACACACCCCCAGCTAGCACTCCTCCACCTACCTGTGAGACCCACCCCCAGCTAGCACCCTCCACCTACCTGTGCGACACACCCCAGCAGTACACCCCCACCTACTCAGTGAGACCCACCCCCAGCTAGCACCCCCACCACCTACCCGAGACCCACCCCAGCTAGCACCCCACCACCTACCTGTGAGACCCACCCCTAGCTAGCACCCCCCACCTACCAGAGACCCACCCCAGCTAACACCCCACCACCTACCAGTGAGACTCCACCCCAGCTAGCACTTCCACCACCTACCTGTGAGACCCACCCCAGCTAGCACCCCACCACCTACCTGTGAGACCCACCCCAGCTAGCACTTCTCCCCACCTACCTGTGAGACCCACCCCCAGCTAGCACTTCCACCTACCTGTGAGACCCAACCCCAGCTTACACTCTTCCACCAACCTGTGAGACTCCACCCCCAGCTAGCACCTCCACCACCTACCTGTGAGCTACCCCCAGTTTTTCCACCCCCAGAGACCCAGCACTCACTCCTCCTCCACCTACCTGTGAGACCCACCCCAGTTAGCACTTCCACCTACCTGTGAGACCCACCCCCAGCTAACACTCCTCCACCTACCTGTGAGACCCCACCCCAAGCTAGCACTCTTCCACCTACCTGTGAGACCCACCCGAGTTAGCATTCCTCCACCAACCTGTGAGACCCACCCCCAGTTAGCACTCCTCCACCTACCTGTGAGACCCACCCCGAGCTAGCACTCCCCACCTACCTGTGAGACCCAACCCCAGCTCACACACTCCTCCACCAACCTGGAGACCCACCCCTAGCTAGCACTCACTCCACCACCTACCTGTGAGACCCACCCCCTCAGCTAGCACTCCTCCACCTACCTGTAGAGACCCACCCCAGCTAGCACTTTCCACCAACCTGTGAGACTCCACCCCAAGCACCCTCCACCTACCTCAGAGACCCACCCCAGCTAGCACTCTCCACCTACCTGTGAGACCCACCCCAGCTAGCACCCACCCAGAGCTAGTCCACCTACCTGTGAGACCCACCCCAGCTAGCACTCCTCCACCTACCTGTGAGACCCACCCCAGCCAGTAGCACTCCTCCACCTCCAGAGACCCACCCCAGCTAGCCTGTGAGACTCCACCCCTCCACCTACCAGAGACCCACCCCAGCTAGCAGCACTCCTGTGAGACCCACCCCCAGCTACCTCCACCTACCTGTGAGACCCACCCCTCAGCTAGCCTCCACCTACCTGTGAGACCCACCCCAGCTAGCACTTTCCACCTACCTGTGAGACCCACCCCAGTTAGCACTCCTCCACCTACCTGTGAGACCCACCCCAGCTAGCACTCCTCCACCTACCTGTGAGACCCACCCCAGCTAGCACCCTCCACCTACCTGTGACTCCACCCACCAGTCTAGCACCTCTCCACCTACCTGTGAGACCCACCCCAGCTAGCACTCCTCCACCTACCTGTGAGACCCACCCCAGCTAGCTCCTCCACCTACCTGTGAGACTCCACCCCAGCTAGCATTCCTCCTCCACCTACCTGTGAGACCCCACCCCAGCTAGCACTCCTCCACCTACCTGTGAGACCCACCCCAGCTAACCCTCCACCTACTCTCAGACTCCTCCACCTACCTGTGAGACCCACCCCCAGCTAGCACTCTTCCACCTACCTGTGAGACCCACCTACCCCCAGCTAATACTTCCTCCACCTACCTGTGAGACTCCACCACCAGCTAGCCCTACCCCCAGCTAATACTCCTCTACCTACCTGTGAGACTCCAACCCCAGCTAACACACCTACCTGTGAGACTCCACCCCAGCTAGCACTCCCTCCACCTACCTGTGAGACCCACCCCAGCTAGCACTCCCCACCTACCTGTGAGAGACCCCCCTTCGTTAGCCAGCACCCCACCACCTACCTAGAGGACCCAGCTAAGCACTCCTCCTCCCCACCTGTGAGACACACCCTGAGCTAGCACTCCTCCACCTACCTGTGAGACCCACCCCCAGCTAGCACCCCTCCACCAACCTGTGCGACACACCCCGAGCTAGCACTCCTCCACCAACAAGTGAGACCCTCCCCGGCTAACACCTCCACCTACCTGTGAGACCCACCCCCAGCTAGCACCCCTCCACCTACCTGTGAGACCCAGCCCCAGCTAGCACTTCTCCACCTACCTGTGAGTCCCACCCCAGCTAGCACCCCACCACCTACCTGTGAGACCCCACCCCAGCTAGCACTCCTCCTCCTGCCTGTGAGACCCACCCCAGCTACCACCCTCCACCTACCTGTGAGACCCACCCCAGCTAGCACCCCACCACCTACCTGTGAGACCCACCCCAGCTAGCACTCCTCCACCTACCTGTGAGACCCACCCCTCCACCTACCTGTGAGACCCACCCCCAGCTAGCACCCCACCACCTACCTGTGAGACCCCCCCAGCTAGCACTCCCCCACCTTCCTGTGAGACCCACCCCAGCTAGCACCCCACCACCTACCTGTGAGACCCCACCCCAGCTAGCACTCCTCCTCCTGCCTGTGAGACCCACCCCAGCTACCACCCCTCCACCTACCTGTGACCTACCCCAGCAGCTACACCCCAGCTAGCACCCCACCACCTACCTGTGAGACCCACCCCAGCTAGCACTCCTCCACCTACCTGTGAGACCCACCCTCCACCTACCTGTGAGACCCACCCCCAGCTAGCACCCCACCACCTACCTGTGAGACCCCCCCGAGCTAGCACTCCCCCACCTTCCTGTGAGAGACCCACCCCCAGCTAGCACCCCACCACCTACCTGTGAGACCCAACCTCAGCTAACACCTCCACCTACCTGTGAGACCCACCCCAGCTAGCACTCCTCCACCTACCTGTGAGACCCACCCCCAGCTAGCACTCCTCCACCTACCTGTGAGACCCACCCCAGCTAGCACCCCTCCACCTACCTGTAAGACCCACCCCCAGCTAACACTCCTCCACCTACCTGTGAGACCCACCCCAGCTAGCACCCCACCACCTACCTGTGATACCCACCCCCGAGCTAGCACTCCTCCACCTTCCTGTGAGACCCACCCCCAGCTAGCACCTACCTGTGAGACCCCCAGGCAGACCTGTCTGCAAACTGTGCCAGACAGTGATCCCAGAGTCTGGATTCTGTGCCGATGTCTGGCGGCAGCCTGACTTGAACACACTGTGGCCATGTGTTACCAATGTGGAGCCCATCTTCGTCAAAGTCGTGTACACAACCTGCAGCAGAAACATCAGTGTCAGGAAACTGACCAGGCACATTTGGCACTCGCCCTTCCAATTCTTAACAACACAAGCATAATTTACAGAAGATAGATTCTCTCATAGGCTGCCCATCGGGACACAAAACATGGTGTACTGTGGGAAATGTAACAATTCTACCCAAGAAACAAAAGGTTTGAGATCTTTTCAACCTCTGAACAATAACGGTCCGTACCTGTTTATCCCAGAACTCAGGATTGATTTAAACAGTATTTTATTTCCCGAAAGACATGTAATATACAATAAAAATTATTAAGTTACAAAAAGGAAAAAGGATCAGCAAACAGGCTGCATCAGCCGATGTAAATGCTTCTCCTAACTCAGGATTGATGTCTATGCTATCCCAGAATGCCCTTCTTGTGACCTATTCTACCCCAGTATCTCCTGAATTGAGAAGTTTTCTACTTCAAAACTCAATGGGTTGACCTATTGGGCTTTCCCCAAGAAGGTAGGAGAGTTACCTGTTGAGTCTGTTAGCCCAATATGGAGATCAGCCTTGGGTGTGTAGTGTCTGAAACAGTTCACTCATTACAGGAGATTATTAACCCACAGCTGAAATAAAATATTAATAACCCACAGTTGAAACAAGAGATTATTGAACCACTGTTGAAATAAGAGATTATCAACCCACAGACAAAACAAGATAATATTGACTGATGGCTGAAGCAGTTAACGCATTACAAGAGATTATTAACCCACAGCTGATTAACAAACAAATAATCACCTTTCATCTGGGCGTATGACCTACCTTAGAAAGTCACCTTGAGTGGGTCGCAAGACAATTCCTGAGCTTACACTGGAGGAGGTAATGAATGGGTAAGGCAGGGGATAGGGGGGTATCCTGCTCTCTGTTCTGTCTGTGTCCCCCCCACACAAGGGGCAGACACGGGGGACACAGAAGCAGATGATGTTGACATCGCGGCGACAGTGCTGGAAACATCGCAGACTCTCCTGGTCAACATCCATCTCTGATCTCCAGTGGTCAGTCCTGCAACCACAACATGCTTGTGTTATTGTAACCATAGCGATAGGGTAGACAGTGAGGTAGTGAGTCTGGTTTTATGCCGCTTGTAGTAATATTCCAGCAATATCACAGCAGGGGTAGACAGCAATGTGTGAAATAGCCACTGGCCTGCTAGCCTGTGGCTAGTAAAAATCCAGTCGGGCCAGTAAATCTCCACAGTCACTGGCCCGACTGGCTAGTGACTTTTTAAGGGGTAATTTTGTAAATACAGTGATACCTGCCGACACCGGCACACTGTCATAACCGGCATAAAATTTTGGTCCCACCATTTTACAACGATATAATGATCATTAAATTATTGTCTAATCTGGCACCCGTCTATTTCGTATTCCAGCACGACTTTCCAGTCCCAACAAGCGATTTTAACTGTAATTAACACTGTCTAAACCGGTATAGGTATGAGCAGTCCAATTAAGGACCAGTAATCCAATACACTAATTAATCCAATGCACTCCTCTCGGCACGCTAGGAAGTAGTGATTGCAGGGTGAATCAATTGCTCGTAGGATTACCACGGTTATGAGAGAGAGAGAGAGAGAGAGAGAGAGAGAGAGAGAGAGAGAGAGAGAGAGAGAGAGAGAGAGAGAGAGAGAGAGAGAGAGAGAGAGAGAGAGAGAAAAAGAGAGAGAGAGAAAAAGAGAGAGAGAGAGAGAGGGAAGGAGGGAGAGGCAGAGAGAGTGTGCGTGTGAGAGTGATGTAATGCGTCGTCTGTGGCAGCTGGGAGGTCAGATGTGTACCCCAGGTACGTTTCTGTATACTGAAATGTATCCTGGCCATAATGAGAATACAGAAACGTACCCTAGGACGATTCCATTCCCATTGTGTCGTATTCTTGACCGGAACTGTCATGCTGTTGTATTAGATACATTTGATTACGTTATGTAAGTAATGAAAATACACAGTAACGGATATTTCGCGATGCACATTAATACCACTCGGAATCAGTTGAACGGGAACAACTACATACGGAATATGGACTCGTCCGCCTTTTAGGGTACCGGGTACGTTTCTGTATTTTGACTTTGTTTAGGGTACATATCTGTATACAGAAACGTACCTGGGGTACGTATCTGTAGTACCTGTGCCGACAACGACCCCTTCAGCCAAAATATGTCAATGAACATTTGCCAGACAGTCATGTGGTGAAGTGTGCTGTGGTGTGGTGTGGTGCACGACGTTGTGTGTGTGTGTTTCGTGTGTGTTTCATTGTGAATTAAGTAAATGTATAGTTGTAATATCCATACAACAAATTCAGATGATCATGATTTGACTGATACATTTTCTTATATCAACAAACTTCAACGAGGCATATTCACCACACAACAGCATAAACCGACCCACGCCGTAAACGCTGTGACAGATCTCTTCAGAGCTGGATGACGAACTTCAGTTGGACAACATGGAGTGTTGGAAGGCGACCTCTGGGAGGGTTGATGTCGCATACCGAGTCATTGCGACTTTCAGGGATTTAATTATTAGCCAACATTGCTTTTGTCTGAACACAATGAATCTGAGATGTGTTTCCGAGTTGTACCGACGCTTTCAAATGACACGAAAAGGCACTGGTCACGAACACAACATGTGGCATTTGTTTACTTCCGTGATGTAACAAGGGACATAACTCTTCAACGATATCTGGACTTGTCGACAAAGTGAAAATGTTCAGTGGTAACGCACCCATAAATAGTTGAGTGAGTGAGTGAGTGATTATGTTTTACGCCGCTTTTAGCAATATTCCAACAATATCACGGAGAGGGACACCAGAGATGGGCTTCACACATTGTACCCATGTGGGGAATCGGGCAGACTTCCGCCCGTATACCCCTAGATTTTAACGATAAGGAAAGATTTCTTTGAGTGGCATTTTTAGAAGTTGGATATGTCTTTCAGTATGTTCAGATACAATTAAAGAAACATGTTAAAACTCGTCCTTATGAGATGAGGAATATATATTCAGGTGATATGATTTGACTAGAATTAAATTTAAGGGGGGATACGGGCGGAAGTCCCTGTTATGACTCAGTGAGGAATCCAGCAAACTGTATTAGTACGTTATCGTCTTGTGGAAACGCTTTGTTTTTACAGCAAGTATTCGTTGTAGACATTATTTATCTCCCATGATACAGTTTCTCTATTATTTATACATAATAATAATAGCATACAGTCGCAGTGAATGACTGCAAAATTGACAGTGCGGCGTCAAGTAATATTCACTCACTCACTCAAGATCATGCAGTCATACTCCAGTGAGAACTAAGCTTAACCAGGATGCTGGCTCGTGTCACCATGACAACACATTATCTGTTAACAATTTGATCAGCACTAAAAAAACATTACTATTTCAAGTACAATTGAAATATCGCATTTTCTTTAATAAGCGCCCGGGCGCTTATATTTTCAACGAACTTTTTAGAGGCTCGGAGCTTTTGCGCTCACTGGGTGTAACTACCGTAATTGTTATTGAGCTGCTTTACCCGCTTATTAGAGGCCCGGCGCATTTTAGAGACCCGTCGCTTTTTGGAGGAAATACGGTAATCGTCACCCATGTAACTTTGTAAAGTCCAATTCAACATTGTTTTCATTAAAATACGGCAAGACTTAACATGCCACCCTATCCTTGAAACAACAAAAATGTAAACTGATCCGAGATGGACACGTTTTCAAGCGCTGTAGTCGTCTCATGTCGAGTATAGTTCATGGCTTTTCATTTCCATATTAAACGACTGGTCATAATTGTTTTTTAATCGTAAACCAAGTTCAAGTATAGATCAGTGAACCTAAAAGCACCCAGGGTGTGGTTAAATCAACTGAAAACAAATTCCCAATACTATACTAATTGAAAGAAGGATGCGCTATCTCACAACGGCCCAGTTTATCAATGAAATGTCAATCAAATCTACCAGATATACCCACCCACAGTCAACAAGGACAGGGAACCATCAGTTGTCTAACGGTTAACGGGGCGGTTGGGTAGCCAAGAGGTTAAAGCGTTGGCTCGTCACGCCGAAGACCCGGGTTCGATTCCCCACATGGGTGCAATGTGTGAAGCCCATTTCTGGATAAAGTCCGCCGTGATATTACTGGAATATTTCTAAAAGCGGCGGGAAACTAAACTCACTCACTACCTCCATGACCAACGTTATTCAACTTCACCTGAAATCAAACCCGGCTGACGCTGTAACCACTAGGCTACCCCACTGCCCCGCTGGTCGTGGACAGTAGTTCGATAGGCTTGTTAACGTTAACCTTCTAAGAAGTTATAAAGCATAACTCCCAGGAAGCCGAGAATGACATTCGCGTGTACACTGATCTTTTGAAGAAGGAATTTAAGTTAACCCATAATATCCTTGACCTAATTGTTCTCTGGCATTATTCGTATGTCACTGAATAATTTTACTCTGTGACAAATGGTATTTCATACACACCCGCAGTCACTGGATGGATCTATGCCTTATTCTAATGTCAATGTTTGTTGTTTAACGCCCCAATCACTATTATTCTAGCTATATATTTGCGTCTATAAATAATCGTGTCTCGACCAGACAATCCAGTGATCAACATCATGGGCATCGATCTACGCAGTTGCAATACGATAACACGTGTCAACCAAATCAGCGAGTTGACCATCAGATCCCGTTAATCGCCTCTTACGACACGAGTGGGTTGCTGAAGACCAATTCTAACCCGGATCTTCACGGGTACGTATTTTAGTGACTAATTTTACACCGTGAGAAATGTTATTTCATACACACATGTATGGAATCCGAGGAGGGACATTGTCGCGTTTTCGCATTGTCGCCCACTCAAAAACAAGTAAAGTGAGGCAAAATAAACCAAAACGCGACACGCGACATCGCGACAACGCGACATTTCGCCCATTTGTCGCATTGTCGCGATGTTGCGTGTCGCGTTTTGGTTAATTTTGCTTAATTTTGCTTGTATTTGAGAGGGCGACAACGCGACAATGCGACAACGCGACAATGTCCCTTCCAGGATTCCATACACATGCACACATTATCGGTTTATTCTGTGACATTATGCTCATGCTGTTGATCACTGGATTGCCTGGTCCAGACTCGATTGTTTACAGACCACCGCTATATAGCTGGAATATTGCTGAGTGCGGCGTAAAACTCTTCAATATAATACTGTCGATGATTGAAATTTGAAACGCGTAGGAGCGCCGTAATTTGACGTCCATGATTTGTCTGGAAATGATCATTGAACGAGCAGAATGGCTGAAAATAATTTCACTTCTACATTGATTACGGCAGTAAATCTTCTCCACCTGCTACAAATACTTACATATCGTATTACACGTCTGACTATTCTGTAAACTTGGTGCCAGATTCAAGAAATGGCGTTGATTCATTCAAAAACACGACCATATAGACCAATGGACTGTCTGTCTACAGAACTGGTAAAGTTATAGATATAATGTTTGGTTTTAGTGAATAACAGAAAAACAGAATAACAGAATGACAGAATAACAGAAGTTTATTGTATTTCGAGGCCAGGAGGCCTGGAGTCCAGTTTGAGATGTAAAACAGTTAAATAACATTTGCAGAGCGCTATAATCTTATAATAATACTATATGTGCTGAAATACACAATGCCATTGAGAGAATGGTCAATGTAACACTTGTTCAATTTGGGACCACGCCCTGGGACCAAAGAACAGACTCCCTACCCCCTGCCGGGCCGAGTCCCATCCAGGACCCGAACCCACACACCCAGAGCCAGTCACCAAAATCGCCAGCCCACAAAGTCAGCCGCCCACGCAGTTTTAGTGTGTGTTTATTATTGCCGTAAATATATGGAACTATTTTACCAATGTATGTTCATATAAGCTTGCGGATTAGGTGCAAGTATTTTAGTCAAGTGTGTTCTTATTAGGGTTAGGGTTAGGTGAGTGTTAAGTGCAAGTATCTAAGTTGAATGTCTTTTTTATCAGGGTTAGGTGTAAGTACCTAATCTGAATGACTTCTAATCGGCCTCCGGATTAAGCATGTATGCATTTAACTAGAGTGTGTTTACATCGGCGTCCAGAGTTGATGGAAGTAAGTTGAGTGTGTTCATATCGGTCACCTCCGGATATGGTGTAAATGTTTAACTAGAGTGTGGTCAGATCCACGTCCAGATCAAGTGTAAGCATTTAAGTTGAGTGTTAATATCGGTGTGGATATATAACTAGATTGTGTTCACGTCGGCGTCCACATCAAGTGCAAGTATACATGTCGAGTGTGTTCATATCGGCTTGCGTTAACAATGTACAATACACGTGAGAGCTTTCCGTACCCACCATTAATGTTAGAGATATTGTGCCAATTTCGCACAAAACCACTCTGTTGATGTCGCAGAAGACCCACGTGGGACTTGGCGCCAAGCTAATGCTTTTAATACAAGAGTGTCCTGTCGGTATTCCATAGAAACTATCCACACTGACAGCCGCTGGTCTGTCCTGGCATATTGCGACAAGGGATACCAACGTGTAACTAAACGCATCTTCAATAGATCCCTCGGACTGATTCCTGACACACGATACGCTCGAAGCGGCTCTAAAATATGACAGATCAGTCGCGCGTTACCTCAGCAGAATTTCTGCTCCAAAAACTACCAGCGTTGTATTACCATAATGACTTTTAGTGCAATTTCCAAATGGGTATTAGATTAACGGTGGTTTTACCAATCTAATTCTTTCAATTACAAAACACAGTGGGTTGATGATCCACATACAAAACAAACATTGTTCGCTGTTGAATGATATGTCCTAAAATGGGTTTTAAATGTTGCAGAGCGGTATCGAATTTCTGTGTTTTTCTGACATGCCGTGACTTCAGAGCGATCTTCATTCTGCACCCCGTGTCTTTATGAGATGAGGATGGAGACTACATCAGCACCGGCCGCGTCATCACCACGACGAGCCCCTGCTTTAGTACCGGATGCGAGATGTTGCAGTCAGGTCAAACTTTAATTCAATAATTCAGATTCATGGAGACCTGTGATTGCATGTGGCGTCACAAATTTCAAAGAAACACAAAGCCTGTGGTTAGTTCGTATATTTCCATGTCAATTCACAATCCCCGATCACTGGACTCAGCCAATCACGTATTCGGTAGGAAATTGCGTTATGTTTCATTTACATTTAATATATCCCAGCATTTGAACCGAGATTCTTATCTATGAATTTCAAAATGTATACGATATTGATAAAAACCATATGTGGGTTTTCTGATAGGGTTTCTGATAAAATATAGCAACCACTTTAGACATGTGTCTCCTTAAAGTTAATCGAAACACGCAAGGACTTTGTACTGAGGAATGACAGGGATCAGGGACGGGTCTCACAGATTTCACACCCTTCAGAATTTAGGGACAGGTCTCACATCCTACAGGGTCCAGGGACAACTATCACATCCTACAGGGTCCAGGGACAACTATTACATCCTACAGGGTATAGGGCTGGTCTCAGATCCTATAGGGTAAGGGGCAGGTCTCACATCAGACGTGGTTCAGGGTCAGGTCTCCCATCCTATAGGGTTAGGGTCAGGTCTCCCATCCTATAGGGGTAGTGTCAGGTCTCCCATCCTATAGGTGT